CGTGTCTTGCAGCTCGTCGTCCACGTACAGCCGGACCCTGTGGGGGATGAGTGGCGTGGGCTGAGCGGGCCCCCGTGGCCATCAGCACACCGTCCCCCAGGCACCGCCAGGACACGTACCCACTGGCATCGCTATAGAAGGCCACGTAGTGGGTCCTGTCATCCGCATAGGCATTTCCAGTGGTGACTTCGGTTTCCAGGAGGTTCAAGGTCAGCTGGCCCCTCTGGAGGGACACCTGGCACGTCCCCTCCTGCAGAAAGCATTGCCCCACTTGCTGCTCAGCAGCTAATCGCCAAGGAAGGGCCATTTCCCCACCACCCTCCAGCAGCTCAGGGTGCAGATCTCACTGCAGAGTCACCCTCCGGTCCCATCAAAATCCCCCCTTTCCCAAGGAGGAGCAGCACCATCCCCAGAGCAGGAGCTGATGCTTCTGCCCTGCTGCCAGGATACCCCGGGGGGGCCGCAGGTGCCCACCTGAGTGGCATGTTGGTAGAGTAGCCCCTCGTGCTGGCTCGTCTGGAAGCTGAAGCCACTGTAGAAGTCCCGCAAGCCTGGCACATCCTTCAGGGCCAGAGTCAGGTAGCCATGGCCATGGATGCTGACTGAGCGAGCCACCTGCAAGGGACACCATGGAAGCAAGGTGAGAGCCCAGCCCTGGTGTTGCAGTGGTGATGGGAGGCTGACTGAGGTGCCCAGGTCCTTGCTAGGTCTGGCTGGGGCTATGGCCAGCCATGTGGAGCACCTTGCCACAACCTCCCTGTACTGAGGACCTGGAGGTTTTATGCTTGTTTCTGGGTGAATGAGGGGAGATCCGGGGGTCCTGTGCTCCCTTCCTCTGACAGACCCTTTCCTCAGCGTGCCGGCCAGGCTGCCAGGTCTTTGTGCTTACCAGGAGGTCCGAGGTGCACCCGTAGCTAACGCCGACGGTGCTCATGCGCTTCAGGTCAACGTATTTGCCAAGAGCCTTCAAGCCCTTCATGCAGCCCCGGATGGGCCCACCCGTGGGGAAGAGTGCTTTCAAGCTGCAGGAGAAGCAAGCAGTGTTATGAGAACAGCACCAGGCAGAATCCAGCCCTGCAGCCCTTCAAACTGAGTGCCTGGGAAGGTCCCATGATGGCCATGGGTATCTCCAGTGCCTCAGGCACAACGCTGCTCCAAAGCACCCAGCATGGCAAAGGAGAATGCAGTCACACCCACCAGCACCTCATCCCTCACCAGAGATGGAGATGTCCCATCCTCAAAAGCTCACAATCATGGGTAAGAAATCTACCCCCAGAGCTTCAGCAGGGCCCCAACCGCCCTGGACATGGCTGAGAGAGGGCCAGGGCCACGGCCACCACCAGGGACACTGGAGGGGAAGATGTGGACTGTCCCACCCCACTGTGGGCTGGACTCACCTGGGAGGCAGCACAGCTGGGGGCACACCACCCAGGTAGTAGGAGACAGCGTTCTCCAGGGAGTTCTCCTGCTCCACCATGAAGATGGTGAGGCGCTCCAGTCTCACCAGGATGCGCTTCTTGTTATTCATTTTGAGGAGGAAAATCTGGATCTGGAAACAAAGGAGAAAAATGATCATTCAACCTGGGGCAATGAGGTCCATCACACAGGGCAGCACGATGTGTCCGGTTCACGGCTCTAGTCAAAGAACTTTCAGCTCTCCCCTGCCAAAACAAGGGTCTGGGTGCCCCCCCCCACACCTCTGGACGAGGAGCCCCCAACAAGCGAGCCCAGCAGGTGGCTGCTCCCCCTTACCGCTTTGTTTGTGGTGCTGCTGATGGTGAGGGAGGAGGAATTGCTGCTGGGTTTTGCCATCTCCAGACCGGTGCTGAAGTCATAGTACAGCACCAGCTTCCCATCCCGGATGGCCAGACACAGGAACTGACCCTGGGGGAGGCAGGACAGACACTCAGCCACTCAGCCCCCCATGCCCTGGTGTCCAGCATGCAGTTGTGGCACTGAGCCTGACCTGCACTCTAGCACCAGTGGGAGCAGGTCCCACTGCCAGTGTCCCACCACATTGCTGTCACAATTACTGGGGATTTAGCTGCAAACATCAGCTCCGTGCTGGGACGGAAGGACAAGCACTGCAAGCTGGAAATGCTCCTTGCAGCACTGCCTGCCCCAGTGAACCCTGGCCCAGCTCGGAAGGTCTGTGCATGGGTGCTCTCCAAGTTCAGGGGAGTCCTTCCAGCACCAGACAAACAACTGCTGTGAGGACTGTGTCCAGCCCTCTTGTGGCTTTTAACAATAGTGCAGAAATACTGCTCAAAGCAGCACTACGATCTCCGAAGCCCACTTCTCCCCGACATCCTGAACTGGGAATGCCTGCAAGTGGGGCTGGGATTGTCCCAGCCCACCAGATGAAGGGTGAAGGCTCCCCATGGGAGCAAGCACCTGCCTGGTTTTCCAGGAAGAAGAGTATGCCATTGTAGGAGACCACACGGATCTCCTGCTCGAAGCGCTTGGTTGTGCCAAACTGGCTCTCAAACTTGATCTCTGCGTAACCAGTGCCATCAAAGTAGGAGCCGTCAGTCAACCAGGGGTCTCCTGTGGACTTGGACCTGAGCCACACAAGAAAAGGCATGAGGCGTCACTCCAAAGGCAACTGCCATGCTCTGGGGCAGCTGAGGGTCAGGGTGTGCACCCTGAATCAGAGCTGCCCCCGGTCTGAGTGCAGTGCCCTACCTTGCGCAGGGCTTCTCAGTGGTGGTATCCAGCTGGAAGGTGCGTTGGAAGTTGTACAGGCTCACCACCTCCTCGTTCAGTGTGTCCAGCTCCAGGCACCCGCGGTAGTTGGGATAGCGCAAAGTGGGAGGAGGCTGGGAACGAAACCAGACAGTTACGGCAAGTTTAATCCCGGCTTCCCTATGAAATCAAGGTTTTTTTCCCCAAAGGTATCACTGATACCTCCTAAAAAGCCAGCCTCCCTCCCTGCTGCCTGTCTCACCGTGAAGCTGGAGGGGTAGCCACCCACGTAGAAGACCACGTTGAAAATTCCGCAGCCCCTGCTCCCCTTTGGCCACACTGTCTCCCTTGGTCTCGTGCACCGTCTGCCTCTCCACGATCACTGACATGTGCCCATACTGCAGGATCCTGCAAGCAGGGAGGGATGGTCAAGACAAGGGGAGACTCTGCAAGAGGAGCAAACCCTGCCCAAAGGGCCTCCCCACACAGCTCTACCAAAAAGGGGTGCATCTCCTGCTGGGGAGCCCCACAGCAGCAGTGCACTGAAAGGAGTCAGCACTCATGTTATGAGCACTGCCACAAGGCTAAATGGACCCTCCACGATGAACTTCATCTTTCTTCTCCTGCAGACATCCCCAGACCCTCCACGACCTGGTAAGACACCATCTCCCTGCTAGTTCTTTTGCAGTATCTCAGTGTTGATCATTTAAGGATGACTGGATGACAGAGTCAAGGCTTGGGCACAGCACTACATGCATTCGCTGCAGGGGCAGTATCCCAGTAAACGTCCTCATGATGTGTTCCATCAGTCTCCTACCTGTTGATGCTGATGGTGGCAAACTGCTCTCCAATATCCTCATCGACAGTTAGGGAGGCTGGCTCCTCGTCGCCCAGTTTGTAGACCCACTGCACTTTGTGGTCCTTGAGCACAATGCCCAGGTAGTCTCCAGCAGCCTGGACGCAGGGAGAGACAAGGCCACACATTGGCATTCGGGACAGGCAGGAGCACCAAGCGATGCTCTCCCTGATGCTTCCAGGGCTGCACTGGCCAAACACCCCCATTCGCTCTCCACTGCTCTCCTCTGCATCCAGGGCCTGTTCCTGTTCCCCACAAAGATGCTCAGAGAGCAGGTGAAGGGCAAGGGGCTGACCTCCACGTGTGATCCCCCATCGATGCTACCAACCCGGGCTCCTACTGCCCTCCTCCTGCCCGCACGGCCCCGTCTCACCTCCCGGCTGCCCAGGTACAACACGAACCGCCCCTCCTCTGTCCCGTCCTGCCGTCGCTGCCGGCTCCTGGGCTCAGGGTTTTGGATGTAGAATTTGAGGGATGTATAGGCTGCCAAATCCTGCAGGTTGCTGGGCATCCGGACCTGCACACCTGAGCTGCCATTGAACTTCATGGGGACTTTCACCTGGAGGGAGAGAAATCCAGCCCCACGGCACTGAAGCCACTGCTGCTGCCTGTCTCGTCACTGCCAGCTCAACCAAGTCAAAGCATTTTCTCGAGTTTTCCCATGAAAAAGGGACCCTGCCTGGTGGCCCCAGAGCTCTTCTAGATACCCCTCCCATATACTACCTTCAGGTAAGCCCTCATCCACCCCAAGCCCCTGGTGCCCCAGGCACAGCCCTCACCCTTCCAGGAGCCCACCTTGCTGGCGGCGTTCCTCGCCTGCGTGATGAGCTGCCGGATTCGCACAATGTTCTCGGACACGGTGGCGTTTTTGTTCCTCCTGTTCTCCAGGCTGCTCAGCTTCCCCAGCAGCAGTGGGATGGTGCTTTCCAGGCTGGACACTGGGGTTGGAGAGGAGCCAGGGTTTTTGGAGGTTAGAGAGGAAGGGAGATGTGAAGCTCAGGCAGTTTTGAGACATGTAAGTCAAAGCAGCGGCAGCTGGAAGCAGAGTCACAGAATGATCCCCTAAATCCAGCAGCCTTGATGGGGGGTTGTGGAAATACTCTAGTGCATGCAATCTCCTGCAGTAAAGGTATAGGTGACATAGACACTGCAGGGAGAGAAAAAAAAATAAAGAGCTAGGACTTAAAGCACCCAATATTGGCTGCTACCCTCCCTCTACTCTTGGCCTAGAACTGCGAAGCACAGCATCCAAAAGCACAGAGCTCTCCGGGGACATCTGTCCATGCACTGGCTCATGCCAGACTCAGCCCTGGCAGCCCAGCAGGCTCAGCACTCACCAGATTTCCTGGCATCCTGGACTGCCTGGTTCAGGTCTTCATTTCGAAGGTCTCCATACTGGTCTCTCCACTCATCCAGATTCTTCTTCATGCTGCTCAGGGTATCTTCCACTCTCGCAGCTGTTTCGTTGGCCTCAGCAGCTGCCTCTTTGGCATTCTGGATCATCTCTTTTGTGTCCTCTGGAAAGAAAGGAGAAAAATCTCTGGATGGCCAGGAGCAGGGAGGCAGCACCCTTGGGTCACAGCCTGGGCACGAGGAGAGGAGCAGACAGAATCAGTCTAGCTATCCCAGAACAAACCTTGGTCCCTGCCCAGCATGTCCTGCACAGACTGGAGCTGGCTCAGGAGCTGCTCCTTCTTCACACGGAGGTCAGCCAGCTTGTCCTTTGCTGTCTGCAGAGTGCCTTTAATAGCTGCAATTAAAAAAACGTGTATGTTGTGTGTTGGGTCTCAGTCTAGCCCGAAGGACATCACACCCTGCAAGAGGCCTCTCTCACCCCCGTTGAGTCTTCTCTGCTGTCTCTTCACAGCCTCCTCCAGGTTGCTGCTGTTCCTCTTCAGCTCTTTAGAGATGGCCCCGAGATTTTCTGATATGACACTCTGTAAAACAAACATGCGCTGCCTGGGACTCTGAAGAGGAACTCAAGTTTCCAACGCTGACTGCACACAAAAGTGCTTGTTCAGGCAACTGCAGCAAAGGGTACTGCTGGGGCATGATGGAGAGACGCAAATCTCCAGAGGCTGGCCTCAGCTGTGGCAGAGGCTCTGCTCTCCAGCACAGAACAAAGTGCTCAAGTATCGGACGGAAGGGGCAGCAGAGCCTTATGTGTGGGTGTGAAAAGCTGGAGGACTATCGAGGGAGTTTGGCTTTTGCTTATCTCCCCAGTGCTCCCCACTGCACATACCATCAAAGCCTTGCTGGCTGCCTCATCAGCATCGTGGGCTGCTCGCTCGGCTTTTTTCACAGCTTCAATGATGCTGGCGTAGGCATTGGAGGCATCGATCGCCCGCTGGATAAAGCCATCCTGGTTTGTTCCCTGGATAATGCTGTGTTGGAAGATGAAGCCATCAAGTCCACGGAGACCACTCAGGCTGGGCTCTTGCCCATGCCCCCACAGACAAACCCCTTTGAGCTCCTCATCATAACGTGTGCTCCAGGATAAAGCTTTGGAGATGGCACTCTGCTGTTCCCCCGCCATGGTGTGGGGCTGCAGTTTTCCATCTCCAATGCTGGTAGGAGATGGCCTGACTAGTGAGTGTCAGGACCGGTGCCTCACCTGGACAGGTTCTTTGCGAGCTCATCCAGAAGCCGGGCATGCTCCTCCGCCTGCTCCACGATGGGGATCTTGCTGCTGGCTGGGGAGAATTTCTTGACCCTCTCAGTGAGGGGCAGCTTTGCCCCATCCAGCAAGGCTGCCAGCTTCTCGTACGCCTGCAAGGACACACATCACTCCTGAGGGCTGCCACCCCCTTGTGCTCTGCCCATGCAAAGCACCTCTGTCACTCACCTCCTTTGCACTTTCCATCTTCTGTAGGAAATCGGAGACCTGGGCCAGAGAGTCCTTGGCCATTCTCAGGGTCTCCTGCACCAGCGCATGCTGCTTCTGGAGTTCACGGCTCTTTTGCTAGACACACAGACACAGGGTCAGGCACCAGCAGGGCTGGGGTAGGCATGGCAGGACAGGACCACCAGGTGAAGACCTACCTGACTCTCCTCCAGGTTATTTCGGTTCAGGCTGTTCAAGTCCTCTGTCTGCCTGGTTTTGTTCACAGCCTCGTTGAGGGCATCTCTGAGATCCATCAGCTGGGAGCTGTGATGCGCCAGCCGGTCCTGGATGCTGTTCACCAGGTCCTGGTTGGACTCCCAACGGGTGTGCAGCTCACTCTTCACCTGATGCAGCACTGAGAATGGAGATGATAACTGCTGCTAATTCATCTTTCTGTGTTAAAGGGCTCTTTCTGTGCTTGGCTGTGCAAAAGCCTGGTTCTGGTCTCACTTGGCAGGTATCAAGACCAGAAGTGACCATTTTCCATTCCTCCCTCCCTCCCTCTTTCAGCCTGGATAGCACAGGATCTCATCCAAGACTGTCTCCAAGCCCCCAGCACTGGCAAGAGGGATGGGATCTCTTTCAGAAAGACACTTAGTCATGCCTGAAAGGCTCCAGATGATGGACAAACCCCACCTGAGCCCTGTTCCAGGGCTTGATTACTCCCACTGTGAAAAATTACTTATTCCTAGCAAGAGCCAGTTTACAATTACAGCTTTCAGCTGCTGAACTACGTTTTGCCACTGCCTGTTAACCAGAAGCGTTTGCTCCCCACAGTGCCAGCGTGCCTGGTTACGCAGTGGGGCTTTGTGTGGGAGCACAATCCAAGCCCTTGCTCCTGCAAGGGATGCCCTCAGCACAGCAGAGCTGCTGAGAGTGGGGGGCTGCTGGTTGTTACTCTGAACCTCTTTCCTGGAACAGTGAATATGAAAAAACATGAGGTGACTTATTCACATCCATGTGTGATATATACATAATAACGGTAACTCCTGGTTCTAAGGGCATTTTCGGTCATCAGACAGAACAACCCACCTAGTACAATCCGCTCTAAAATTCACCTTAAGGGAAAAGGAAGCAAAAATGGAGTGTCACAGGGGACCCTAAAACTACTGTAAAACTTGTTGGGGCTGCCTGGTTATTAACAGCACTCTCCAAATGCGACCATGATGCGTAGCGTTCGCATGGGCTCCAAGCCAGGCTATCAGGAATGGCCAGACCCAGCAGGATCTGCGCAGCCCTGTCCCGTGCCACGGAGCCAGACTCACGTTTCTGAGCCTCCTCATGCTCGCGCCTTGCCAGCTCCTCCTGGCTGCCCAGACTCCGCTCCTTCATCTCCCTCAGCATTCTCTCCACCTCGGCCATCTTCTGCCGAAACTCCTCGGTGGAGGTGGTGCTGGCGTTTGCTGCCCCAAATCTGGCCATCTGCTGCACCAAGTCTGCAGAGAAATCCAGATCCCCCGTTAGCACTGACCAACCCAGGTGTTTCATAACCCCTTGAGATCCTTCCTCCCTTACATCATCCTCAACAAACCTCAGCCAGCTTTCAGGTGGTACTCTGGTGCTCGAATTGCTTGAGATCATTCAGAGGCATTGCCCCATGTTTCTGTCTCCTTGGCTGCTACCAGTAACACATGCCACATGCCAGGCATCGTTTTGTGGTTTTACTTCTCCTAGATCCAGTCACTCCCTGTTTTGCTAAATCTCTCCTGGAGCGGTAGTGTAGATTGCCCCAGTTTTATGTATTTTAATAACGTTTGTGCAAATTTAATGTGTTTTTTCCAAAGATTGTCTTTAGTCAAACAGCTGGGACTCACAATAAGCCCGGTCAGAATAAAAGCCAGAATTCTGCAGGGATCTCCACTTCATTTGTATTTCCCCTTGGTTTCTCTGTGGCTCTAAGTGATGCAGTACTTGGTGCTGTTTGAAAGCAAGAGGGTGGCATTGCCAGCCGGAAAAACCCCACAAAGCAGAGACTCTTCACCTACCTGAGATGCCTTTCTGAATGCTTTGGATATTTAGCAGGAGCTGCTCCCCCCTCTGGTGAGTCTCCCTCGTGTGCTGCTCAATCCGGTTTGCTTCTCTGTGGGTCATTGTCATCTACAACAAAACCCACCAGTTTAGCTGAAGTATGAGATTATGTTGTATGTGATTCATCAGTGGGAAAGATGTTCCCAAAGGGTACAGAAGGCTTGGGAATGTGCAGCTTTTGAGGTTTTTGAACCATGTCTCCTCCAACAGCCTGCCCTGTGCTGCTCACCTACAATGAATTTAGTGATGGTCTTATTTAGCACCTTCAGAGAAGCACAAGCAATAAATGTAGCTCCAATGTAACAGGCTCTGGATCCTGAAACAGTCCTAAAACCACAGAGGCCAGCACAGTCCTGCACTCTTAACACGGGAAAAGCCCCATAGCCTGGAGCCAGGCCCCTCTGGGTTCTGACCAGGACACAAGAAGAGATGGAGGGCTGCAGCTTGGCTGCTCAGAGCGTAGTGGAGATGTACGTATACACAGAGGCAGTTTGTCCATGCAGCTACCCAGGGACATATGTCATCACACAGAGACTTTTTCCTCTCCCTTACGTTAGGAACAGGCAGTTTATAAACCAAATCTTCCTCAGTTTTTAAGTTCTCTGAAGACACAACTGGTGTGTTTTTAGACAGTATATAGATTACATCTTGAAATAGGTGTTGTACTGAGGCCTCCAAGGACTATTACCAAAAAAAGGGTTGGCTCATTTGCTGGCAGGGCCCAGGCTCTCCCCGTCACAGCATGGATATACCCAGGACAGACCTAGATGTTTATGTTCCTTCCTTGTATGCTCCTTCTACAAATGACATTTTATTGAATTTATTTTTACTGGTTGAAGTTGGAGCCACCTCAAAAGCAAGTAATAAATCAAGAAACAACCATCAATATCACAAGATGTTTAACAGCCTTTCAAGGGAGGAATGCAGGTAGAGTAGCTTGAGCACCTAAGTAAGAGACCCTGACACCCAAGCCTAGGGCTGGCTGGGCAGGAGATCCAGCCTTCCTGAACTAGGCTCCTCCCAGCCTTCAAAGCCCTCAGTTCAGGCAAGAGGAGGGACTCGTGCTCTGGTAAAGGAAAATCAAGAAATACTCTACTTTGTGCTGCAGCGCATTCAGGTCCTGTGTGAGGTCCACGTTCTCATCCTCCAGCTCATCAGTCCTTTGCCTGACCTTGTTCATAGCTCTCTGGTACTCACGGAGCTGGTTCTGGGGAAAAAAGAGATGAAATCAGGCCAAGAGGACAGGCAATATGGGCAGAAAGTGATGTTATAAACCTTCCACGTACAGCGACAGTCGCCATAGTGCTGTTGAGAGCGTGGAGGCGAGCCCAGGCGATGGAGCTGGCATTGAGGTTGACCAGCTGGCTGCGAATGGAGGGGAAGGACATCTCGATGCTCTGCAGATCCTCCAGCAGAAGCAGGACACAGCTGTCGCACACTGCCAAGGGAATAGAGCAGTCAGCAAAGATCCTCTCCCAGGGCTTCCTCCGCCTCTTTCCCCAGGACTGCAGGATACAAACCTTCACACCTCACGCTGTCTGGGCCGTTTGCCACGGGGATCTCATACTTGTGCATGCAGACGTCGCACTGCTTGCCCGTCAGCCCGTTGGAGCAGGTGCACTCCCCAGTGCGTGGGTCGCAGGAGCCCCCTCTGCACTCGCACTCTGTCGAGTTTAATAACAGGGAAATGCCCGTGGCATCGTTTTGTGCTGTTACCACTCCGGAGAGGAGTGGTTTTATTCCAGCTGTGCAATTACATCTCCGCTTATGTACACGCCACTGCCAGGGTTTCCCTTGTGCAACCGAGCAACGTGCACAAGACCTCAGACAGAGAGCAGTTATTTTCCACCTTTAACCATTCAACAAGCACACGTGTCACCCATGCCTTGTCCCACTGCTCCACATGCAGGACCCAACACCCAGGAAGCAGGACTCACTTGTACAGCCGCTCTCGCTGAAGCCCCAGTAGCCCGGGGCACACTGGTGGCAACGCGAGCCGCTGATGCCAGGCAGGCAGCTGCACTGCCCAGTCTGTGGGTGGCAGCTGCTCCCCACAGCACCGATGTCACAGTCACACCTCCGGCAGCCGGCGCCTCCCTCGAAGCCATAGTATCCTTCCTAGGGAAAAAAATAGGACAGTAGGTGCCCTGCTCAGCAAGAGGGCATGCGTGCCTCCCTCCTGGGGCAAACTGAGACAATGTGGAACCCCAGCCTTGCTTTCTAGGAGTGTTTTGACCACTACAAAATCATATTGACATGGCAAAGATGTAGAGCTGCAATAAGAACGCAGACACACCAAAGCACTGCCCTGCAAACCTGCCTTTGTTCTGCAACACCCATGCTGGATGCATACAGGAAAATGTGTTTTTTAGCAATTTCACAAAGGGTACCATGTTACTGCCCAGGCTGCAGCTGCACGCTGCCTCCATTGGTGCTGCCAGATCTTTAATAGGCTTTCGCCATGTAGAGGCAGATCATGCAAATCCAGCCTCAATCACTAGGCTGCCAGCACCGCTCTGAGCACAGGTCTGGGGAAAACATGCCAGGGCTGCCCCTCGTCCTGGTGCCAAGGACAAGCAGCATCCCAGCACGCAGGTGGCCCTTACCTCGCAGTGATCACAGCGCTGGCCTGTCACTCCAGTCTTGCAGAAGCACTGCCCAGTTTGTGGATGGCAGGAGTCAGTCCCGCAGGGTGAACAGTTGCACTCTGCCAGGGAAAAACACACTCAGTCACACACTGAAGAGCCTGCTCAGCCACTCACAAGCTTTATTATCGACAGGGAATCCTACTTCCCCCTTATCTATCACAGTCAGAGCAAAGACACAGCCTCTTGGATTTGCTCCTCCTGATGACTTAATTCCCATGACACCTGCCCAGGGCAGACCCCTTTTGTGAGCTGCAATTTGGCCGCTGCTCTCAGAGGGAGATGAGCAGTGCTGGGAGTGAGCTGTGCAAACCCACGCTCCCGAGGGAGCGCCAGCACCGCTGCTGCAACAGCTGCTCTGGGCAAGACCATTCCAGCCTGGGTGCGGTTTGGCAGCTTGCATTCGGAGGTGGATTAGAGGTTATGGAGCTGTGATGCTGGAGGGCAGGTTTTTGGAGTTGTTTTTTTTCTTATTGTCATCTCTGGAGGATGTCTGTAACGTGTGCAACCAAGCATGTGACTTGCCGGGGCAACACACAGCCTGGCTAAGGCACTAAACACATCCACAGTCAGTCTGTCCATCTTCCCTTCCCAGTGCTTGTGCCTGCCCCACTCACGTGTGCAGTTCTTGGCTGCCACTGCATCCCCGTAGTAGCCGGGGGCACAGACCTCGCACCGCGCGCCGGCCGTGTGGTGCATGCACCCCGTGCAGGTGCCCGTCAGGGAGTCACAGCTGCTGAACAGCATGTTGGGATCCGTGTTCCCGCTGCAGTCACAGGGCTGGCACGAGCTGCCAATCACCAAGGGATTGCCATAGTATCCTGGGGCACACCTGGAGAAACATGGCAAGTTAAAACAGAGTCAGGGCATCAGGAGGATCCCTGCAGCTCATGCCTGCACCATGCTCGAGTTGTGCAATCGTAACAGTGCAAGGATCCAACACTTGGAACTGCTGCAACCCTCAGGGATCTCAAAGCACTTTGTGTTTTGCCTGATGATACCTCAGAAAGGTGCCCCTATCACAGACTGCAAGTTAAGGAAAAGCATAGCTAAGGAATACACCCACGGTAACACAATATATCAGCAGTACAGACAGCAACAGGGAATTTTCAGGCTGAAAAGGATTGAAAGAAATCCTGCCAGAGCTCATCATGCTGGGAGCAGAGCCAACCGTTTCCTCTGCAGTCTTTACTAGGACAACTTTTCTTCTGCCACAGCAGTGGCTGCATGGGACTAGTGTGTCTGAGGCACCCAAAACATGGGTGCCATCACCCTTACCGCTCACAGTTGGGTCCGGCGTAGCCAGGCTTGCAGAGACACTGCGTGTTGGAGCCCTTGTGGACACAACCGATGGCAAAACTGAAACGATAAGGGGTAAACGGGGAGGTGCAGTTACCCGTGACGTGGTGCTGGGGAGCTGATCACTCGATATGTGCTGCCAGGGCCTTGGGTAAGAGGCCATGGACACGGTCTGGGGCCACGGACAAGGCTGGCATTGGGACACCCGCCAGGGCCAAGGCAGTGCCCTAGTGTGGCACAGCATGGTTCCCAGAGGTTAAGCAGGGAGCCCAAACAGGCAATCCCATCCAAAGGTGCTTACTTGTTGGAGGCAACTGAAAGAGGGCATGGACATCCAACACACTGCTGGGGTTCTTCCGCAGAGTGGCTGCCCACGTAGCCATCCTTGCATCGCTCACAGTGGTCTCCCTCCGTGTTGTGCTGGCAGTTCTGCAAGGAAAAGGCAGGCTGTGGGCTCAGCACTGACAGCAAGAAATGGTGGGTTGCACAAAGAATTCCACACCAGATATCTGGATGCTTCAGACCTTCCTTTTTCCCAGAAATGTCTTTCACCCTGCGCTGACCCCGAGTGGGACCACCCCTGCAATGGCATGTACAGCTAATGCTCCAGTTCAGACACGATCCCGCCAGCTCAGTTAGTATGTGAAGAGCTTTTTAATTGCATGCTACAGAACTTACAACTCCAAAATATCCCACTGTTTTATTGTTTACTTACAAGGCATATCCCAGAGCCTGGTAGGCACTGATCTGAGTGGCCATTGCAATGACACGGGATGCATTTTCCCAGAAAGAGCCCCTTGGTGTCCCTGTAGTAACCTGGAGCACATTCCTGAGGAGACAGAAAAAGACGGAGATCTGAAAAACAGCCCACTACATTCAGGCAAAGCAAAGAGATTAATTTAGTTTCCATGACAGAATTCCCACAGGGTTGGTACTGATGGAGAAGAGATTAAAAGCAACGATGACAATTTTTCAGTGCAGTTTCTTCCTGCTCCTCATCAATAGGAGATAACTGGCCAGACAGGAAGACCTATTCTTCTGAGGCACTAAATGCACTTGATTTTGGTCTGCAATACCCGATTTCCCCATCATGCCTCTTCCAAGAGGGCAGATGCAGCTAACACACCTGTCCCAGGGGCACTGTGTTCTGGTGGGAGGGGAGCTGGGAGCAGGCTGGTGTGGGGGAGCCTGGGAGATGCTCCTTCCTCCGGCAAAACCTGAGCTATAATTTCAACTGAAGCCCTCAAGGGTCAGTTTGGAAGCTGGTGCTCTGGCACCACTGCTTTATACAAACATCCAAACCCCACGGCTGCCACCCACACAAAGCATGAGGGGTGGCTGAGACCCAAAACATGACTGTTGGATTCCTCTCTGCCTGAAGCAGCGTCCACTTTCACTCTTACCTGGCAGGAGTCCCCCTGGTAGTTAGCTGGGCAAAAGCACAGCTCCACGTTGCTGGCGTGGATGCCTGTAGCTGTATCTGTTGCCACCTCCAGGACCACACGGCGCAGGGACACGGATGAAGAGAGCTGGGAGAAGAGCGCCCGGATCTGCAGCTGTTCCAGGTTTGCCAGCACCATCATTAGCTCCTCTCTAGACACAGGGTTGTGTGTCTCTGTATGCCTGAAGTTACCCTAGTGGGAGAAGACCTGACATTACTGGCAGAAAAAGAGGCACCTGAACACCCATGCCAGCCTTCTCTTCCCTGCTGCTGGGATGTCTCCCCTTTGCACAGGTAAAACGGCTCTGGCTCTCCACTGCCAGTTCTGCTGCAACAGGCAGCACCTAAAACACTGAGCTCTAAGCAATTGTCCCTTCCATCTACACGCTAGTCTTGTCCTTTCAGTAGAATCTGAGCACTTAACTTGGTACACACTTTTGTGTGCAAACTCACCTCCACCAGCTGTAGCTGGCCTTTGTGTACCTCCCCTGGGGATGGGTAGGTGCCTTCCAGAAACATGATGCTCATTTGATTTCCCTGGGAAAAGCAAAGAAGGTGTCAGTCACGACTTCATCCTGCTCACGCATTAGCAGAGGCACGAAAGAATTTCTCGGGCTGCACCTTCAGGATCACGTCCGGTCGAGACTCCATGGGAATGAACACATCACCCCTCCGTGGGTCGGAGTGCAGCTCATAGCGCAGGTGCCCACCATAGGAGGAAACCTAAGGGAGAGACAAACTGCATATGTTGCTGCAAGCCCACACCACTGAGATGAGTCAGAGCTGTCCATGTTCAACCAGAGCGTGAGCAATGCCTGCAAGTCAACGGGCATGCTGCTGGCACACGTGTTGGTGGGGTCAGAGATGTGCATGACTGCTGGTCCCACTGCCACTGCACTCTTACCCGGTCCCCAAGGTAGGAGCTGGGTGCAACCCAGTAGAGTTCCTGGTAGACATCCAAGAGGTTCTTGAGATCAGCATGGAGGAGCTGCTCCCGCAGGCTCAGAGTCGCCGGCACTTCCTGGCGGTCGCTGCTTAACAAGAGCCACCCGTTCATGTCCACAAACTGTGGGGGAAGAGCAACCATAGATCTTCTAGTGGAGTTAGAGTATTCGGGTGCTGATGCTCCAGAAGAGCAAGACCCAGAGTAGCAGAAAGTATGACAACAGCCTCGCAACCCCACAAGCATCCTGATGAAGCCACTGGAAAGCTGAGCACCACCCCAGCCTCCTGTCTGGCACAGTCTCCCCATGCTATGACTTTCCACCCTGTAAGACCCGAGAGACCAGGAAAAGGGGCTGAAAGTAGGAGACGGGCACCGGGAGACAAAGATAACCCTCCTCACAGTGTATCTTCCAGAGGGGTAGGATTAATGCAGGACAGAGAGCTGAAGGCAGCAGGGAGCCAGGCGGATGGGAACGCAACTGAACTGCAGGCTCTGGTGGCCCCAGCCCCTCTTACCTCAGCTCGGTGCTTCTCAGCGCTGCGGCAGCGATCGGTCGCACCAAAGCAGAAACACTTGGTGCAGCCCTTGGGGTTGTTGGCATCCAAAGAAAATGTCCCCAGGCGGCACTGGTCACACCTTGGGCCCTCCACGTTTTCCTGGAAGACAAGCAAAGCTCAACAGTGTCAGCAGCTTCTTACAAGGCACTGGTGGAGGACAGACGGCTGTACAAACAATCAAAGCACAGTGATGTGATGCTGAAAGATGATTAAGCAGTCCCTGAACAGGTTTGCTTGCACACCACCCATCAAACATTAAATTCACCTGGAGAAAGCACTTGTGAGCCTTACAAAGGGGCTGGAGCAGGCAGCTCAGCAGCAGTTTGAGCTACTCTGCTGTCACGCAGGAGTAGAAGGAATCAACAGGGCTGACAGTTTTATCTGCAATGGGCTCTGACATGGGGAGGGACCAAGGCAGCCTGTCTCTCCAGTGACAGCTCAAAGAGTAAGCTTTCATGGCCAGGAAAGATGGGGAGAAGGAGTCTTTCAGGGTGCTCTGAACCCACCATGATGTGGGGCAGGCCGGCTGCAGCTCAGGCGCCCTCCTTCTCCAGCCCTGCTCCCTCCCGGCGCACCAGACACCCACAGTCCCTGGCACCCACAGCCGGAGCAGGAGAGCTGAGCCAAGGAGAAAAGCACCGCGTGAAGGCAGCGAAGGACTGACCTTGCAGTGACAGTGCCCCGTGACCGGGTCGCACACGCTTGCTTCGGTGCCAGCCTGGTGGCAGTCGCACCGCCGGCAGTTGGGGTAGTGGTAGTAGCCAGGGGCACAGAGGTCACACTGTCGCCCGATGATGTTGGGCTTGCACCTGGATGGGACGCAAGAGCCGCAGCATTAGGAACCTCTGCCTTGTGCTGCTGTGCGCGGAGCGGCCGGGCTTGCAGAGCTTCACCCACACTGGCACTGACACAGCATTGATGAGGGCTTCCCCATCCTGCACATTTCCTCCCTGCAGCCTGCCAACATAGCTCCAACAGGGACCAGGGATGCTGCCAGACGTGTCCAGTGCCACAACAAGGCTCGCTCACCTGCACTGCCCGCTGTCCACGTCGCATCCTGGCTCTGTCAGCTCCTGCACGCCGGGCCGGGAGCAATTGCAGTCCTCGCAGCCGATGAGGGGGTGGCAGCCGAAGGTCTGGGGCTCGCAGACGACGCACTCGGGCTTCAGGGTGTGCGGAGGGCAGATGCACTGCCCCGTCACTTCGTCGCACAGACGTGTCCCGCAGTCGCAGGCTGGAAGGGGCAGAAAAGGGACTGTGTTTGGGGAAGCAAGACCCAGGCAGCAAGACCCAGAAAGACCCCAGGAGAGCACGAGGCAACGGATGCAGAGCTCAAGTGCTCTGTGGGCAGCTGGGCTGTTCTCATACAAGTTGAGCCATTACAGGGCTGGAAAATACAGCCATTACCCAAATTAACCTCAGCCCTATAAGAGGTAAAACAGCAAGTGCTGAGAAAGCAGAGTGGGAGATGGGACAACTCACGTCTACAGTTGGGGAAGCCCCAGTAGCCGGTGGCACAGCGGGAGCACTCTCGCCCGATGACGTTGGACTTGCAGGGACACTGCCCACCGAAGGGCTCGCACTGGCTGCCCCGTGCCCCTGCCTCGTGGCACCGGCAGGGCTGTGCCCCGTTGTTGTAGAAGAGGGAGAGTGAGATGGCAGAGTCGCGGCAGAACCTCGACGATGTGCTGGGGCTGCAGGGGAAGGCAGGAGGAGTCACCGTGCCGCACACCCCCACAGCCTGCCCACCACCCCAAAATCCAGCAGGATCTCCTGCAGCAGTGGTTACTGAATTAGTGGGAGGGAGAGCCCCATGACACTGGGATCCCCCAAATACCCACAGGTTTGGTCACTAGACAAGGAAAACCTTAACCAGATCCCTCCCCTGCCACACATGAAGGGAATGGGTTTTTGCTCCCTGAGGAGGGTGCAGCCTGTGGACAGCAGAGCAGCCACCCAAAGCCAAGGGTCTCACTTGATGTAGAAGCTGTTGATGCCACAGCTGCTGATGAAATCGTACGACTTGTCCAGGGGTTCCTCCTGCAGGTACTGAGAGCTGTAGCTGTCCTCAGGCACCACAAGAATGTAATCCTGCAAAGCAAGGACAAGATGGGTGAGTCCGGCTCCTTAAGCTGAGCCAGACAGAAGCAGTCCAAGATGAGCTCACTCGAAAGTCCAAATGCACTCTTAACTTCTCATCAGCTCATCACTTGCTGGGACAGAACATGACACACAAAGTTTCCAAGTACTAGAAAAACCAGGGGCAACCTCTCTATTGGGGTCTGCCCATCAGGATCCACATAATCTAATGCTCCACGTAAGGAGCGGCCCAAAGTCACTGGAGTAAAAAAAGGCACAATACCCCAAAAGGGCAGCACTGGTTGTGCTTCAGCACCACAGAGGCAGGCAGTCACCGTCATCTTAAACTTCCAGACATGAAGGCAACTGGGTTCCAATTCTGTCTTTCAGTCACTTATCCAAACTTTGGTCAATCTTCTAGTCGGGTTGCATGAGGATAACAAAGTCTACCTGCTACCATGATGAGACCTGCCTGGACAAACAATGCTATGCAGGTGTAAAATATTGTTGGGGCAGGAATAAGGCTTATTCTGGATTATCACAAGCTACGTATGCAAAGCAACAGCTTCAATTTCTGCCTTGTTTTGGTATCAAAACCACACAGTGAAGGCTAACTGTCATATACAGATAATTGCCTCTGCAAATTCTGCCCTCAATTCTACACCACTAAGGTTGGAGATTGCAGCTTTCTAGGGTAGTTCAGAAATAGTGATGGTGGGAAACATTCCTGCGGTCACATACAGTGACAAAATTCCAAGGATAAACTCCAGCCCTGCTGGAGCCTGGTCCAACATGCCCTGGGAGCTTCCCAGAGAGAGGCTCACCAGCCACAGCTGCTTGCCCTCTGGCACTCGAACAACCACAGTCAGATCATTATCTGTAACATCCAGGATAATCTGGTCCTCAGAAACCACTAAGCTCCGGCATCCGTAGCCATGTGGGCAGAAATTAGCATTGGTCTGACCTGAAAAGAAAACAAATGTATTGGTCCCACACTTCCCTTGCAGTCCCCGTCACACCCTCCCAGTTTGGAAGGGATGAGTCAGTCTCACTTCATCTTTGCCATCTTCAGAGAACCAACAGTTATCCTATGGCATGAAAAACTTCCCAGGGTTTCTTCCTGCCAGCAGCTTTCCCCCGATCCCCACTCCTCTCACCTTGCCAGATGCGCCCACCGTTGATTAACACTTCCACAGGGAAGGTGGGGTGGTTGGGCTGGTAGTAGTGTAGGATGAAAGCGTAGCGTCCCAGGGTCTGGATCCGGCTGTTGAACACAACAGCAGCCTGGCCCAAAACAGGAGAACAAAAAGACAAAAAACCACATCTGACTCCTGCACTCACAGCTGGGTTATTTTTTAATTATTGCACAAATTTGTGCTCTTATTGCACAACTGTGAGGTCTTGAGACTTTTGGTGAATCAGCCCCTCATGTCTCCACACTCCCCCATCTAAAGCCACCTGCAAAGCTTTTCCTGGGAGCCCAGAGAACCAAGCAGGGTTGGATGGAGCTAAGACAGGAGAGTCCATGGGAATTACAGGTTCAGGGACAAGTTTAAAGTCCAGATTAAATTCTGAAAATGTTAATTGCTAAATTGCTAATTGCTAAAGCTACTCAATAGAGACGGAAAACTTCTCCCTGCCCCACGTGTACAGTGTCACAGCACCAGCAAACCAGCCCAAGGCACATCTGTGTCACTACCTGCGGTGGTTGCAGGAGGATGAGCTCTGCAGTGGGGTCCACAGCCGTGGGAGGCCGAGGTGCAGGCTCCACCGGGACCCCAGCTGGAGCCACATGAACAGCCTGAGCCAGGGGGACGTCAGGGGCGATGGGCAGAGACTGGCCCCCCTCCAAAACGATTGACTGAGAAAGCTTCAGGAACCTTGAGGGAACACAGGAGCTGCTGCAAAACAAGGAGAAAACAGGATGTAAAGATCTCTGACAAGGAAAGAGAGAGGCTATGGGGTCCTGGCAAGAGAAGCACGTTCTGTAACACCCGGCAGATTACGAGGCATGTCTGCTGAGGGAGAGCTTTCTACCAGGACCTCTGGGTCTCTGGGACATGGGCTCAGGAGGAAGAACAGGAACCTTGCACAGGCTAATTCCTATGCAAATATTTATTCAAAGCAGTGTCAAAAATTCGGATACAGCAAGTATCTCTTGATCTCGAGATTTCTTTCTACTGTGTCAAGAACTGAATAGTCTTCAAATGTGAGGGAAGTGGGGGAAACAATTGCTTTTGGAAACAGTCACATTCATGCTAAAACCCTGAAGGACCTGAGACTCTTACCTGTTGGATGAGAACGTGCCATGGACGCTGATGCAATGCACCTTTGGCTCGATGAACTCCATGGTGAACTGTGCAGCAGGTATGAGGTACACTTTGTGCTGCCGTGCGTGACAGAGAGAGATGCCCAGTTACATGACAGCCTTTGCCACTGGGAGCAGATTTTGTGCCCACCAGTGATCAGGCTGATCTCCTTATCAGACACTTCAGCTACTGCATGGCAGGTCACACCTCTGTTTACTGCTCCTTCTTCGTTGGCACAAGCCCTAGTGCATTTAGGAGCTCCACATATTTATGGGATTCTTCTATCCTTAGCTAAGCAACTGTGAATGCCTTCAAGTAAAACAGGAAGAGGCACTGCCACACTGCTGCAGACGTTCCTCTGCAAAGAGCAGCTTCTTCTCCCCATCTTCTCCCAAATCCTAGTCCTATGATCTACTTCCACACCACTGATCACATTCTCCACCTTGAAATGCTCATGACATAGACTAAGATCTAGTACCCAGGCCAAACAGGGCTAGAAAACCCTTCTAAAGGCTAGGTATCGCTCCTGCCTCTCCTTGCAACCAGCCAACAGAGCTGCCCTTGCGGGGAGCCTTACCAGGAAGAAGTCAGCCAGATCAGAGGTGAATCGAATGGTGGCCTCTGAGGTAAGTTCAAAAGTTGCCATGCGGCTCTGGGAATCTACAGCAATCCCTCGGCAAAGGAAACTGTAAGAGAAACACAGATTTTGAAGCCAGCCTTGAGCAAGGTCATGACCCATTTCTTGTCTTGCCACTGTATATCCTGAAGGTATTATACAAAGTCCCTGTAAATCTTTTGATGCCTTTTCTGGCACGTCATAAGAGTGAAGTTTCTCAAGGACGCCCCAGACATTTGTTTCCTATTGCAAATGCTGCAGTCTGAAGTCAAACTTCTACAGTAAGGGATTGGGCTTGACCTGCACCAACAGCTTCAATAAACCTGCCTGTAGGCCATTCCCTAAAATCAGGGTCCCTACCAATCTACCCAGCTGTAAACAGGAGCAACAGATTATCTCCTGGCAGAGGACTACACTGGCACAGGTATGTATTTCCCAGGGATGGCCAGTCACTAAAATCCATGTCCAGCTAGAATGAGTCTGGACATACACAGCTCAGACACACAACGCTGAGGCATTTCTGTTCGTGTGATAAAGCAGATAGAGCTCAACTGGGGCGGGAGGTCTGTCCCTGCCATGTCAGAGGAGGACGGAACCCTTTTTCCTTCTCAGAGATGGCCATACCTGTAGACACACGGGTAGAAGATGAACGTGCCCTGCTGCATGGCTAAGTGCGGTGAGCTCACAGCAATACCCACTGTCTGCAAAGCATTGGTGTTGGCATACTCCACCACCAGCACGTATTTCCCAGGCTGGGCAATAGGCAAGGACAGCTGGACTTCCACCTGGAGGACAGAGAGGTGACTGAGCAGGTGTCTCCTGTCCCACTCCCCAGAGTGAGTGCATGCAGGACGTCTCTGCTACAAACCAGCCGCCTCTGCAGCTGAGGGGACAAGAGGCCAACTCTTGCCATATACCACACGCGCCCTTGCAAGCCCTCTGCGTGCAAGACCAAGGCACACAACCACACATGCAAGACTTGAAGGGGCAACAGGGGGGTGTACACAGGTGAAAAGCCCTTCTGGTAACCTGCCCAGGTGTATGTAAAGCACCAGATGGTGGGAGCAGAGGGATGAGCGCTGCAGTTCCCATGCAAGGGATGAAAGAGAAGTGCCACTCACATCACTGCCACTGCACGTCGCCATCTGAGGATGGGAGGGGGTGAGCTGCTCTGTGGGACACACTCTGGGTAACCGGTTGTCCAGCCTGCACACCGCATCCACCCCTGAAGCAGCAGGGAAGCCGTCCACAGACAGGTATTTATACAAGAGGCAGCTAAAACCATTAAGAAAAAAATTGCAAAGTATGGTCGTTACATCATGATTGTAAGAGTCAAGAGCACCCATGCAGCCTGATCTCAGCAAGATTTGCAAAAGGTCTTGGTCCAGCATGAAGGCGCCACTGCCCAAAGGAACATCTCTGGTTAGCATGGAGCAAGAGACTGTCTATTGTAGGACCCATGATGGCAGTAACAACAGAAACGTGCTTTATCCCAGGGATCATTGTATAGCAGAGGGGACTGGTGTCCAGAGCCCAATCAGCCTTCCTACCAAGATGGACAGAGAGGTCCTGGGCAGGGCAAGCGGGTGCACTGAGATGGTCTAAGCTTTACTAGACTCTGCCCATTCATTTTAAAGAGTGCAGCAAGAGTTAACTCATTGTTGCCATTTTCCAGGACTATTGACCGATGTACAGTCTGGCACTGGGAACCCAGCCTAGCAGAGGAGAGGGCTAAGGTCTTACTGGGTGAGTTGGCCCGCCAGGGTCCATGAGACCATAGACTGTCTGTGCCATGGATGAGATGTATGCGTTGGTTTTCTAGGACAGCACAGGTTCAGTGGGCTTTATCAACCACGGCAAAGTCCTCCAGTAAGCAGTTCTATTACATCCAGACCCTCACAGAGTGTGGACTGTATATATTTCTTAATGCCAGGCCAAGAGGAGCTGAGTAGGTCCCATACAACACAAAGATGTGGAGATCCTTACTTCTGGGTGGCTTGTTCTGGGGCTGGCTGGTAGGTACATGGCTCTGTAACCTTTAGCTGCAGTATTGGAGCTTCATAGTACGAGCTGGGTAGCAAAACCAAATAGTCCTAGGAGGAGAGATGGGAGAGTTGGTTATGTTTGGGACACTTGCCCCTTGGGAGCTGCTGAAGCCCCCTGTGACGGATGGAGCATGGGGGCTGGTCCTTACCAGCAGCACACCCTCTGCTTCAACAACCAGAGACCAGGTGTTGGGGTTGAGTACGAAGGGCTCCCCAAAGCTGTTCTGGGGGACAGTGACAAAGGCTGGCTCCGTGCTGGGAGCAAAGACAATCTGCTTGGTCTGTTCTGTACCTGGAGAGGGAGGGATGAGAGGCTGTGAAGAGACTGGGATGGAAAACCTGGGGCTGCAAACAGGAGGCTATTCTCAGCAAAGCGGCTCCGTAAAGCAGCAGGAAGTTCCAGGCTCCTGCTCTCTCAGCGCTGCCAAAGCAGGTACACCACAATCCCACACCGTCCCGTAACAGGGACATCCACTCTGAGTCTGCTCAGTAGCTTAATGGGAGATAAAAAAAAAATCACTGTAATCCTTAATGCTAATCCACAGCTCTCACAGTGTGCTCTGCATCCCTGGACTGCAAAGCACAGAGCGTTGCACACCAAGGAGCGTTTTGCCAGCTAGAGAAGGAAGGAACTCATCTGTGAAGAATTTATTCTGAGACAAACAAAAACAATTGCCCAGATATGTTCTGACCCCAGCTCCACAGGCAAGATACCTGTCTTCTGGCAAACCCTCAGACCCCTAAGCTGTGCTCCTCTCTTTCTTGCCAGCCACAGACTCTGCATCCGAGATTCAGATATTAATTTTTACTGATGGGACAGAGTAGGTTTAAGGCCTGATCCTGCTGCTGTTGAGCAGCTCCTTGGCCCAGCTGACACAGCCCCGTAACTTCTGAATTCATTAACTTTGGATGCAATAACGATACAGCACCTAGAAGCAGACTGTCTGCCTGTCTAGCAGTGTCAGGAGCATTTTGAAGAGCACAGGTGAGAAGGATTCACTGAGTATGGCTGCAGGGCGAGCAGATGACATGAAGAAGGAACTGGGGAACGTGGCACACTGGCTATGCTTGTGTGGTACATGGACATCAAGGCATCACGCAGAGGGCCAGAAGCTAAAGCAAGGGCTTGTGCTACTGCTGGGATGGGTCAGCCCCTTCCCACATGTGCGAGCTCTGCGACACGCCTGAGGCCAAGCCCTCGCTTTCAGATGGGAAGCAGAGGTGAGGATGCAAGGAACGAAGAGATTTCCCCAAACAGGCAATGGGGTAGATTTCTTGACAAGCTGAAGTTTCACATCCCTTTGAGATGATACACAGCTCAAACTGAGACGGCTTCTGTAGGTAGGATGGGAGAAACCGGTCTGCAAATCATATACTCAGAAAAGGCTTCCTTTTTTGCAATTCACATCTTCCAACTTATCTTCTTCCCAGGCTGCTTGTCCTTTACCATGTGAAGCCCATTCCACCCAGGCAGAGTCTGGAGCCCATCTGGCCTATCAAGGAAGCTGCCCTCCCAAATCCCACTGCTGGTCCGTCAGTCTGGCAGCTTGCCTTCAGCGCTAGAAAAATCAAATGTTGCTTCTGAGCAGGGAGGGAAGCACGTTATAACACAAATGAGCTCTGCTGCTGGATAGGAGAGATTAAATACTTCCTGACCTTTGATGGAATCCTAAAGCATGAGCATGGCTCATGCTCCTCTTGTCTTTCTGCTGCATAATACGACTGGCCTTAAAAATAAAGTTATTTTTCCCCTCAAAAAAAAGTAGAAAATAATATCTTGGCATTTCAAACCTTGCATACAACACCAAAGGCAAAACATCTTCTATATCAATTCAAGACAGAGGAGAGAACTTCACACACTGATATATTACGCAGCTGGTGTCGACAGCCTAATGCGTATGTGCGTATACGGTCTGGGGGAAGAGCTTCGGCAGGACGATGTGGCTGTAGCATCAGAAGGGGTAAAATCAATCAGCCAACCACTCACTAGGGCACTTGCATGGCCTCAGGTCTGCCGCCATGCAATCTTGATCATATCGATTCCCAGAATATTTGTTGTCCAGGTCTCTAGACTTGTTCAGCCACCTGTTGGTGGCTCTTCTTCTTCTCCAGCAGCTCATGGCTTGATGAGAAGACATTGCACCAGAGTGTAATGCCTCTATAACATGTGCACTTCCATGCCACTTCCAAACTCCACACCATGTGTGAAGCCAGCAACCTGGTTTGGGAGGAGCGCAAGGCAAGGGCAAGACTGCCACATGAGGGCACCTGTGAAATAAAACCATGTCCAGGTGCCAAAGTTTGGATCCAGTTCCCAGCACTTGGCTCATTCTGGTTTTGTGGAGGCACTGGGGTGATCTTGTCCTGTGCTGGAAAGGCTGTATTGAATCGTACAATAGCCTTATCTCACACCAGCCCGGCTGATAAGAGTCCTCAGTGTGCAGCTCCAGGACTAGGGAGCTTGTTGCTGCTTTTTTAAATAAAAGAGGCTGCAAACTCAAATCGGCCTTTCAAGTGGAAGGGCAGAACTAATGGGTAAAGCCAAATGGAAGTGTCTTCTGGAAAGGATGATGCAGAAGGTTGCCTGGGATGGGGAGGAGGTGGCGATGGTGCAGGGGAGCAGAGCGGTCTGGGATCCTTACCTCTCCTTCGTGGCTGATAAGCTGTAATTTTGCCATACACAGTGGCCCCTCCTGAATTAATATACCTCAGGATGACATGGAACAGATAGAGCTCTGCCTCCTTCACGTCTACAGTGACTCTGATTTTATTCTGCAAAAAGCAAAAAAGCACACGGGGCACACGTCACTGGGGGGGGCAGCTCCTGGCCGCTCACCCGCTCTACGGGAGAGCCTTCCCCGCCTGCCTACCTGCCTGCCTGCCTACCTCTCTTCCCCCTCCCTCGCCATCCCATGGCACGGCTCTGGCCGGCCGCTTGAGACTGGCACACTTGGGATGGGCACACCTGGGACAGGAGAAGGGGTAGAGGAGCAGTGTCGCAGCGTGGGATGCTCTGAGTTAGTCTAGAAGTGAAAAATGCACTTACAGTTGCCACAAACATTAAACTTTCCTTCCTCAACGACCGAGACCCTCCCTTCCACACTGGCGGGCCCCCGGCTGACGTAGCGGAAGACGAGGCGGAAGAGGTCGGGGGAGGTCACATTGAGAGTCACCACTACCTTGGGCTGGTGGGAGAGAGAAAGGGGAGAGAAGCAGAGCACACCTTCAATCACCTCCACCGCCGGCAGCTACCAGCCCAAGCGCAGCCGCTCGGCTAAAGCAACATGCCGCAGCGCAAGGAGGAGACAAGCACGCCGGCCCTACTGCACAGCCACGGCGCCGGCGTCTGGCGACACCATCCCTTCTGGGGCCAGCCACCGAGGGAGCAACCTGCCTGTGGGAAGGGGGTGGAAAGGCTCTGACCACATCTGGAAGATGCTGTGGCACAGCAGGGTGGTTTGGCTATCCTGGAGTACACGCCACGCCAGAGGAAAGGTTTTAAGGAGCTCTTGCTTTTGGGCTTAGTGTGCTGTAACCAGCCAGCAGGTACCAAACACTGAAGCTCCTGCTCTCGTGTTTACAGGGCTCCGCCCAGATGCCTATTGAGGAGGCTGCAAATTGAGCTGGTGCCTCCTCCTCAGGAACCCGAAAGCTAAGGAGTAGCGGTGCTAGCGGAGCGTGCCACCGATGGGTGCGTCAGCCCCTCTGCCTGCCGGCACACTGTTTGGCAAGACCCCAGCTAAGGAGCAGCTTAAGTCCAACCCATTTCAAAGAGATCTAAGCATTTGCTTAAATATTGTCCTGCCTACAGGGCAAAGCTGGGGTCTGCCCAGGGAAGATTCCCAATGAGGGCTCTATGTTCTTCAAAGCTCCAGTTACACAGCATCCTCCCACTGGAGAGCAAACTGGAAGGATCTTGCAGAAAGCAAACTACATGTGAGACCTGCCAGCTGAGAGCTATGTGCTAGCCCTTCTATCAAGCCCTATCTGTCTCAAACACCAACACTGGATGCAAAACGAAAGCCGTGACCTTGAGCACGAGCTCCATCCTTAAGCTTTAAGGCTGGGGTCTACAGGAGCAGTTGTTGCTTAGCTCCTACCTACAAATTCACTGGGAAACGGCTAATGCATTTGGCTCCTCTGCTATTTCACCTCAGCATGAAAAAGTGAAGAAAACTGAAAGAGTACATCCACCAGAATAAGGAGCACCTTACACTGGACAAGACTATCAGAGAATTGCTGCCCTGCACGCCATCCCCAAAAACACACACAAGTGACAATTCCGCGGGGGCCATGCAGAAGAAGAATCCACCAAGGAGAAAAAAGGGTCAATAGATGAAATAGCTTCACTTCTAGGCTTAGACAACTCCAGATTAGTGTAAACTATGGTTACAGCAAACGAGCTAACAGCAAGAGCAAAGGCAGAATGGAAACAAGAGGTCCAAGCGCAACATGGCAGCTAAGGAGGAGCCAATTTATTTTTGGAAAAGGGAGGGAAGGTTATGCACAGAGTTTCAGGAAAGAAAAGTCAGATGAAAGAGCCACAAGGAAAACCCAGAGACAGTGTTTATAGACATCCCTGTAAGTAATCACCAGGCTACCACCTTAGTCTAAACGGATTAGGATGTCAGGGCATTCCCAATTTAGGATCTTTCCCCTCATCAGTCTATGCTGTCCCCAGCACTACAGGAAATATCTATGCAAACAGGCTATATATACACTGTGCTGTTTATATTAGCCATCACGTGACTTTGGGCGTTTGAGGAGCACTTGGGGTGAAAGGATGTGTGCCAAAAGCATGTCAGTCCTCAACTGGTCGCATCCTCCCCAGGGGGAGCTGGGCTGGAGACACCAGGCATACCTGGATGGAGGACATCTGTGCGTATCCTCGCCAGCTGAAGCCCTCAAACTCCAGGGGGTTGTAGCCGAAGCGAACAGCCCGGCCAGCCGGTGTGGTGCCTTCCTCCAGCTCGAACTTCAAGTGGTGAAGGTCAGGGAAATAATGGTCCCGCGCAGGTCTGAGAAAGAGAGGGAGCACTGTTACCTGCTGGGCTCCTTGGAGGGAGAAGGCAAGAGGCCACCTCCACCGGGCACACCGCAGATGCGGCAGCAGCCCAGATGATGAGGTCCCCGTCCCCGTGGTGTCAGCAGACACCATCCCCGCGGGAGCGAATGGGAGGCAGAGCACTCCGAGGTGCATCTCCCAAGCAGCTTACTGGGTGCAGGTGGGGCCGCGCGTGCTCTGCCGGCAGCGACAGGCTCCGCTCCGCTCCTCGCAGGATGGCCCCAGGGACGGCGGCTTGAGGGCAGAAAGCGCCTGTTTACATCCCCGCCGCACTAACGAGCTCCCGGTCACTAATCAAAGACGTGCCCCAGCGGGCGGGGAAGCTGGGGCCCACTATTTTTATTCCATTGTATCCGTTTGCACATTGGCCCCGGCCCCACTTGGATCAGCTCCTCTTCCACCTCAGCACGGAGCTATTTCCAGGCGGCTGACGGCTGCGGGAGGAACAAGGTCTGCAAACCCTCATGGCTGGGCGCCGCAGCCCCGCCGCCAGCAGCAGCCTTGCTCCCTCTTCCCAGCCCTGCCAGGACCGCGCCGGGCAGCTGAGAGCAGCCGGATCTCCTCCTTTACCTCTTCCCATTAGCATGAGGAAGAGCAGCCAACCTCACATGTCCACGACCACCTGCTCCCAACAGGAGGAAGGGGTACAGCCGCAAGGACACGGCCAGTGGTTAAAACACACCAATTTCTGGCACCCAAGGGGGCACCTTTCCTGGCCTTTCCTTTCCCAGCCTGATAAGACTTGTATCCAGTGGTGGCAAAAGCATTAACTAAGGTCTCCAGATCCACAGCAAGACCCAGCCCCTGCTCTGGGCCATGGTATGATCAAAAGAGGTGGACATCTCCTGGCCCTTCTCTCTATGGCCCTCAGTTGGCATACGTGGAGCCACTTGCTCCGGGGTCAGCTCTTGTGCCCCTCTCGCTCACCCAACACACCACGAAGGGGGCTCACCTTGGCAGCCAAAGTAATTCGCCCTCTCCATATTGAAGTAGCCATCCTTGCACGCCGAGCAGAACTGGCCGCAGATGTTCGGTTTGCAGAAACACTGCCCGTTGCTCTAGGAGAGAAGCAGGCATGGAAGCTCGTTCCCTCCTGCTGCTCGTCACGGCTAGGCGGTTTCTCAGTTATTTGGGGCTAGTCTGAGACACTGGAGAAGCGTTTTGAGTTTCATGCTCTCCACGGCTTCCTGCGCGTGGGTGGGCCAGATAAGTTAAATTACCCAACAATGCAGGCAAACAAAAATCCAGGCATCCTAGGCCAGACCCAGAAATATTTAGGTGCCTAATTTATGACAGGTCTTAATCCTGTGTTCTCATGCAAACCCAGACTGTGGTGCAACCTTTGAGATCCCAGCGTCAGGACAGGCCTCTCCAGCAGCTGCTGGGAGAGACGGAGCTGCAACACTCCCAACACAGCACATGCCTGGAGGTGCCTGGAAGGAGAGAGGAGCAAACTCACCTGCTGGCACTCTGCGATTCCACTGATGGTGCCCTTGGTATCACACTTGCAGCCTGGACAGAGGGAGATAAATAAGAAAGCCAGAAGATCAATCAGTCCTTGAGAAGCAGCCTGAGGGGGGACAGTACCCACCACACCAGAGGACACCGGCTGGGGTAAGAGGAGCTGGGAACTGGTCAAGTAGAGGGTAGTGCTGCACTGCACAAGGGTTCTGCTTTCATTTTGGACATTTACTGTTGAGGACACAACTACCAAAGACATTTGCTATTTCTGCGCATTTGGCCAGGAAAAATGAAGTGTGCGAAGTCTGCAGGGAGGGCAGAGAACGGCACAACACATTGCAAAAGCCCAGTGTTTCACCCCAAGCCAAAAGCTCCAGGTTCCAGCCTTTCCTCTCTCCAAGTGGCAGTTACCCAGACCACTCCAGCTTTGACATGTCACTTCAGGGTGCAGAAGGAAGGAAGAGTATGGCTTCCATCCACCAACAGCAGTCCCCACTGGCTTGGGTTTGGGTTTTGCACCAGTATAGCAAGGAAAGGACTTTTTGGGGCAGTGCAAATGCCACTTCCTTACTCATGCAGCCGTAGGGGTTCTCGGGAGTCAGGTTCCAGTATAAGGGCTTGCATCTGTCACAAGCTGGGCCTTCAACGTATGCCCGACACGCGCAGGAGCCCTGGGAAAGGGAGGGGGAGAAAAGAGCAGGTGAGAATTTGCAGCACTGTGGCTGAACGTGGGGTTTGCTACCCTGGCGTGGGTAACAGCTGCTTTCAGGCTGTGGGAAGGAAGGACTTGGCCCAAAGTGAGTTAAAGGGGAACCCACAAAAACAACTTGCAGGGGTTGGTGGGTTCACCTGATACTCACCGGGGTCAGGGAGGGATCTGCAGTCACCAACCCTGCTGGGTTACAGGAGCCCACTAGAAAAAAGAGGCACAAGGAGGGATTTATGAAGAGACAGCTCACCCCCAGCTGTTCCTAAAGGGGGTTATTTCTTCCCTTGCAAAGCTCTTGGGGGATGACAAGCCCATTCCAACCCAAACTATTCTACAACTCTATGATTTAGCAGCACCACACCACTATGTCCCAAGACACCAGCGTCCCCTCGCCACCAGGGAGGAGAAGGGGGTTACCTTCGCAGTGCGGAAATCCATAGGCGCCCGGCACACAGCTATCGCAGCGCGGTCCCGTCACCCTGGGCCGGCAGCTGCACTGCCCCGTCTCCTGGTCGCAGGTGCTGTGCAGAGAGCCCTCTCGGGAGCACTGGCAAGCTGCAAAAGAGGGAAGAGCAACTGCTGGAGCTGCAGGGCACAGCAGCTCCTGCATTCAAGGCTTCCCATCAACCTCTTTTGTCTGCCTGACCTTCAACACCATCAAAGCAGCCAGAAACATGGATTATAAATAACATACACATTCATTCTTTGCTTTTGGTTGAAAACATGCCATCTTAGAAAAAAAACCCAAAACAATAGAAGCTGCAATGTTTATCATACCTATTCACATACATTTATGGGTATTTTGGGAAGGGGGCAGAAGTTCTGGTTAAGGAAAAGGGGAATGTGTGCTCTCATCCCAAAAAGGTCAGTGACAGATTAGACCCTACAAAAGCCAATTTGCACCCAAACACCCAGGAGCAGCATTCAGCCATCAGGGTCTGCATTGTGGACACGGTGCGTGGCCAACAAGCCAACACCACAGCCATGGCACTGCCAGCAGCCGAGGGCAAGGGCAGGGTGATGGTGCTGCAGCTTCCTGCATAAGCTGCCTCCTGTGAAAGCACGTAGAGATCCTGCTGCCCTATCGCATGAAAGGTCAGCAAGCTGCTGGGGAGCTGCCCATGCCCTCCTTGTTCAGCCTGCACTCCTCAGATCCCTGCCAAAGGGGACGTTTTCAGCTGACACCCTCAGACTGGCTAACAGCAAAATACTGTTCATAAAACAGCAGATTTAAAAAAAAATCAGGTTCTCCTCTTCTTTCCTTGCTGTGACTCCTCTACAGCTCTGCAATCTGGACACTGCTTTACAAGGAAGAGGGGAGGAAAAAAAAAAAAAGTGACTCCTGAACTCCTGCGAGACCATTTCATCTCTGTCTGCAGCCTCTTCATCAAAGGCATAGTGCCGCCACCAGCACTCGCGAGCAGCGCTGTGCCAGCTGGCCACGGCTCAGGCGTCCACATTTAGTATGGTGCAAGAGGGTGAGGACGCTCTTTTGTTGCTTCAGGGAAATTGTATCACAGATTATTTTTTAATGAGCAGTAAATTCTTGCTGGGAGACATAAGAGTACATCTGGCTTCCAGTCGGACTGTCGACAGGGAGGGAGATGGGGACACTCTGCCCAGAGCTGGGAATGGCTATTCAGAGTATGCAGAGCCACAAGCACCTGCTGCAGGCATTGCTCAGCCCTGGCACCAGCAGCTCTGCTCCAGGAGAGAAGCAGTGCCCAGGGAAGCAGATGTAAAGCTCTCACCATACCAGCAGACGCCTCAACTTTCAAGCTAACATGAAATCCCAAATCCTGATCTTCATCTTTCACCCTGTTGTACAACCATACTCCTGCTGGTTTCAGCACAGTGTGCGTTGGCATGAGCTGGGATGGAGTAAGCCCTGAAGTGCGTGGATGTGTCATGTGAGCCACATCCGAGCATCTCATGGCACCTGGGTATAACCTGAACATGTGGTTTGAGACTTCGCTTACCCCACTCAGAGCCCTGCTCTCTCTAGCTGCAGGCACTCAAACCTGAGGACAGGCAGATGCAGTTCAGCATGTTTTATGTGCATCTGCACACAAAGCTTTCGGAGAGAGAGCCTGAACCACAGCTGCTCCCCAAGTCATATTCTGCAGATTTGTTTCTTAACTGGTTGCTGGATTAGAGGCCGTACATCCAGACTGGGGTTTATTTCCAAACTGAGCAGGCAGACCCGAGCTCCTGCTGTTAGTGACAGTCAATGAACTGGGGGAGACAAAGCACACAGCCTTTGGGGAAGTGGTTCTTCAAGATGTTTACTCGTTGCAGAGCACGCCTGTCAGATGAGATAGCCAGGTGAACTGCGCACAGGAAAACTGATTCC